CCACCCGCCACGCCCCCCTCCCCTCACGCCCTCATTAACCAAAGCCAATTAACGCAGATCGGAGCCAGAGCGATTTTATTGCCGCGGGTCCGCGCTCAGCAGCCCGGCCACGGGTCCTGGCGGGCGCTCCTGGCCAGGAAGGCGATCCTGCGCGCCATCTCGGCGCAGTACACGCGGCGGCACGCCTCGAACGCCCGCCGCCGCCGCGCCCGGCTCGGCTTCTCGTAGTAGCGGGAGCGCCGCACCGCCTCGGCCACGCCGTCCTGCGCCAGGATCCTGCGGGAGGGCACGGAGAGAGCGCTGCCAGCCGAGGGACGGGCGGGGAGCGAGGAGCACACAGCCCTGGCTCGGCTCGGTACCCGGCCGGACCCTCGGCTCGGTCCCGGTGCGGCCCCGGCCTCGATCCCCGGCCGGGCCTTGGGCTCGGTCCCCGATGCGGGACCCGGGCTCGGTCCCCCGGCTCGGTCCCCAGCCGGGCCCTCGGCTCGTTCTCCCCGCCGTCCACCCACGAGGAGAGCGAGGAGGGGAAGGAAGGCGCCGAGCTCCGTTCAGGGTGGGATTTACCAAGGTGTGCGAGCATCCCCTCGCTTCCCGAGGAATATTCCTTTATTTCGCCCCGCTCACGCCCCGCCCGAGCGGGCTCGGAGGAAAGCCCGGCCCGACCCTCCCGTCACCTTCGGCTCGGGAAATCCCGGTTCCGAGCGCAGGGAAGGAGTCGGGGCCGCCGCGGGGCTCACCTGTTGAGCACGCCGTAGGCCGCCTCCACGTTCCCGTTGTGCACCATCACCGTGCGGCCCACGAAGCGCAGGTGGTTGGCCATGGCTGCGGCACCGGGCAGCCCGTCCCTCCTCCCCGGGACCCACCGGGCCGCTCCCCGCCCCGCTCCCGGTGACACGGAGAGCCCGAAGGGAACGCGGCAGGGACCCCCCGCTCCCCCTAGGATCCCGGTCCCGCTCCCGCTCCTCTCCCCGACTGACCCCGCTGAAGCCGCGCCCGCACCGGAGGTGGCGGAACTTCCGCTGGGAGGGATTTCCGCCACCACCGGGATTTCCGGCACCGGAGGCACCCGGCGTCCCGCCGCGGAGGGGACACCGAGAGCGGCTCCGAGCCCCCCCGGGACAGGAGCGCTCCCCAGTCCCGCCCCACCGAGGCACAGACCACACGACACCGGCTGGCCCCGGCCGCTCCCGCGGCGTTTATTGCTTCCAGCAGGGCCGGCTCCGGGCGCTCCCCGCTCGGGGGGCCCGCACCCGCCGTTCTGGGGGGCCGCGCTCCCCTGCACCGCCGGGGGAAGGCACAGGCCCGGGAGGAAGGCTCCGCTCCGGCCAAGGCACGCGGCCGCCCCGGGCTGGGGGCTCCTGGGGGGGTTCGGGACCCCCCCGGTCAGTCCCGCCCGCCCGCGGGTCTCACTGACCACCGGTAAAAAAAACAAACAAAAATCAAAAAAAAAGGCAAAACAGAGAAATGCAGATGAAATCTCCCCCCCCGAGCCGGGGGGGGTGTCACACGTCCGGCGCCGGGGGGGACTCGGGGGGCCCGGGCTGGCACGGCGGGGACCCCCGCTGCTGCAGCGAGCCCAGGGGGACATCCCCGGGCAGGCGGCGGCACCGGGGAGCCCCGGGGGGACCGGCGGGGGGGCGGCGGCGCGGGGCGGCCGCGGGGGGAGCCGGCTCCAGCGCGGCTTTGGGGGCGACGTGCGGGAACCAGAGGCGCAGCATGGCCTCGACCTGCAGCAGCGTCCCCAGGTAGCGAGCGCTGCGGGGACAGAGAGCTCCTGTCACCGCCTGCGCAGCGGGGACACCCCCGTGCCCGCCCCCCGGGGGTGGCCGGGGACGCTCACCCCATTTCGGGCTTCTGCAGGACGCCGATGATCCGCTGGAGCCGGTCCATGGCCACGCTCTGCTGGAAGCTGCTCAGCCCTGGGGAGGCGCGAAATTGGGGGAATTCTCCCCAAAACAAAGAGGTGCTTGGGGTGGGGGGGGGTAGAGGGTGTGGGGGGCACCCACCTCTGTCGTAGCGGCCCCGGCGCAGCCCCTCCAGCAGCTCCGCCAGCGGCCGGATGAAGCCCCGGAGCTCCCGGCACTGCCAGCAAGGGGAGGAGGAGAGACTGAGCTGCAGCCACGCTGGGGAGGGGGTCTGCGCCCCCCCACCCACCCATTCCAGGTGGGGAAACTGAGGCACGCCCCGCTTTTTTTTAGTCGACCAAGCCCTCTCCCCATCTCCTCCCCGGGGGGTTTGTGCCCAAAGCTCACCAGCAGCTCCCCACCTCCATCACTGCCGCCCCCTCCCCAGGACTGCCATCCCCCGGTGCTGGGACCCCCGGGGCCTCCCCCCCAGCCCCGGTGCCCCCGCATCCCACCTGCCCGCGGCTGCACCTGCGCTGCTGCCGGTGTGCCCCCACCCATTCCAGGTGGGGAAACTGAGGCACGCCCCGCTTTTTTTTAGTCGACCAAGCCCTCTCCCCACCTCCTCCTCGGGGGTTTTGTGCCCAAAGCTCACCTTTTGGGCGAAGAGGCGATCCCCATCGCTGGGAGGGGCATCGCCCCCCTCCCCTTTCCGCGGGCGCTTCCCCCCCGGCGAGTCGGGGGGTGCCCGCTCCAGCCCCCCCGGGCGCTTGCGGCTGCGCTCGGCTTTGGGGGGGCTCCGGGGGGAGCCGCCGGCCTCGGCCCCGCTGTCAGAGGCGGGGGAGCCGCAGGAGCAGGCGCGGGCGGGGGGCTCCATGGTGGCCCCCCCAGGGGAGCCTCTGGCTGCGCTCAGCTCCAGCGGGGTCACCCAGCCCGGGCTGCCTGGGGGAGCGAGAGAGGGAGAGAAACACCGCGGGAAATCGGACAAAAATGGAAGACAACGAAGTGTGTCATCCCCACACCCCCCCCAGTGCTGCCTCGCGGGGGGGAGCAGGTCTGGGGTCTCCTGAGACAGAGGAGGGGGTGCGGGACCCACCTGGCAGTGGGACCCTTCACCCAGGACCACCCCCAGCCCCAAGAGACCCCGAGGAACCATTCCCAGCCCCAGGACATGCCCGGTGCCATAAGACCCCCAGCCCCAGGACAGATCCCACTCCCCCCAAAACAGCGATCCGTGACCCGGTGCCGGTGTCGCTGTGCCGGTATCGGTGTCCCGGTGCCGGTATCGGTGTTCCGGCGGCGGTGTCCCGGTGCCGGTGTCGCTGTGCCGGTATCGGTGTTCCGGTGGCGGTGTCCTGGTGCCGGTATCGCTGTGCCGGTATCGGTGTCCCGGTGCCGGTGTTCCGGTGTCGGTGCCCCGGTGCCGGTATCGCTGTGCCGGTATCAGTGACCCGGTGTCGGTGTTCCGGTGTCGGTATCCCGGTGCCGGTATCGCTGTTCCGGTGTCCCGGTGCCGGTGTTCCGGTGTCGGTGCCCCGGTGCCGGTATCGCTGTGCCGGTATCAGTGACCCGGTGCCGGTATCGGTCTTCTGGTGTCGGTGTCCCGGTGCCGGTATCGCTGTGCCGGTGCCGGTATCGCTGTGCCGGTGCCGCTGTCCCGTTTCCCGGGCCGGTGCCGCTGTTCCGGTGTCCCGGTGCCGCTGTGCCGGTACCGCTGTCCCGGTGCCGGTGCCCCGTTTCCCGTGCCGCTGTTCCGCTGTCCCGGTCTCCGTGTCCCCGGTGCCGCTCCCGCCCCGCCCGCGGCGGCCCCACGCGGACACGTGCGCGGCCGCACGTGCCTCGGCCCGGGCCCCGCCCCACCCCGCTCCCATTGGTGGCTGAGCGCCGGGAGGCCCCGCCCCTCCTCTCCCGTTGGCTCGCTGCCGCCGCCCGGCGCTGATTGGCCGGAGGGCGGGGCTCTGGCCACGCCCCCCTGCGCGGCGATTCGGGGCACGCGGCGCCGGGCTCCGCCCCCGCGCGCTCAGCCAATGGGCGGCGAGCCCGGCGGCGCCGCTCGGCCAATGGGCGTGGCGGACCCGCCCCCTTCCGTTACATAACCGGGGCGGGGCGGCGCGTGGGCCCCCACGTGGGGGCGGGGGCCCCGTGTGACGTCACGCTGGCCCGCGGGGGAACGCCCTGGGGGCGGGGCTCCACGGAGAGGGGCGGGGTTTTCGGAGAGGGGCGGGGCCGGGGCGCGCGGGCGGGGCCTGCCCGGGGCTCCCCCGAGCGCCCCCAAACCCCCTCAATGTTCCCCACAAAATCCCCCCCACGGCCACAGCCCCCAGCCCGGCCCTCCCCACAGGAGGCTCAGGGTGACCCCAAGACCCCTCCCCACCACCCCTCCACAAGGCCCAGGCCCCCCAAAACCCCAGAGACCCCCAGAGCCCCACAAACCCCAGTCCTACAGACCCCTCACCCCACAAACCCAAATCCTACAAACCACTCAAACCCCAGTCCTACAGACCCCTCACCCCACAATCCAGCGCTCGCAGCCCCCTCCCCGCCCTCCCTCACCCCACACCCCGGGCATGGCCCCTCCAGCCCTCCCCGTGCCCCCGGGGGGGCCCGTCCCCCCGGGTGGGTATTTAGGGCCGGGCCGGTGGCACCCGGCCCCCCCTGCCCCCCGCCATGCTGAGCGTGCTGCTGCTCCTGGGGGGCCTGGCCCCCGCCCTGCCCGCTGGTGAGTCCCCCCCGGGTGCCCCCGGCAGACCCCGCTCTGGGCTGCACCCCCAGCCCCCCTCAGGTGCCCCCGTGTGGGGCCGGGGGGCTCAGCCGAGCCCCCACCCCAATATCTCCGCTCTCCCCAGCAGGTCCCCACTGGACGTACGAGGGTGAGTGGGGCCCCACGCAGGGACCCTCCCCCATTTATCCCACCCCCCAAACCTCCCCCCAGACCCCCTGAGCTCAGGGGGTCTCCCCAGAAGGCGGGGAGGTGGGTGGGTGACACCCCCCCTAATGTGGGTCCCCCAAATGGGAAGGAGATGGGCAGAGCTGGGGCCCCCCTGGGCCCCCCCAGACATCTGGGTCCCCCAAAATGGGCACCCACCTTACGACAGGGGGGGTGAGCGGGTGCAGCCCCCCATTTCCCCTCCTGCCCCCCCTTTGCCCCCCTGGCTCCAATGGTCCCTTTGTGCTCCTTTACATAAGGCTCCTGCTGCCAAATCCAATTAGGATCCGGCCTTGGCCAAATCCCGCTAAGCCCCATCCCGCCGGGCCCAGGGGGGACCCATGGGTGCCCCCCCGGCCCCGCGGGCTCGCTTTTGTCCCCGCTCTCCCGCCTGGAAAAAAATGTGCCCGGCAGATTAACGAGGCCCTTGGGAATGTCACCCGTGTCCCGCTCTGGGGGGGCACCGAGGGCGCTTCGGGTCACGGGGGCTCAAGCTGGGTGAAGGTGGGGGGGTCCCGCGGGGGTCTGGTGCCCTGCAGGTCCCGCGGGGGTCTGGTGCCCCCCAGGTCCCCACGGGGGTCTGGTGCCCCCAGGTCCCCACGGGGGTCTGGTGCCCCGCAGGTCCCCACGGGCAGCAGCACTGGCACGAGGGGCACCCGGAGTGCGGGGGCCGGGCGCAGTCGCCCATCGACATCGCGACAGCGCGGGCACAGCCGGACCCGTCCCTGCCGCCGCTGCGGCCCGAGGGCTACGAGCGCCCCGAGAGCCCCGAGCTGACCCTCGCCAACAACGGCCACACCGGTGAGCGCCGGGGCGAGCACCGGGCGGCCCCCGGTGCCCCGGCCCCGCTGAGCCCGTTGTTCCGCAGCCGTGCTGGCGCTGCCGCCGTCCCTGCGGCTCCGGGGGCTGCCCCGCGCCTTCGCCGCCCTCCAGCTCCACTTCCACTGGGGCCGGCCCGGGCACGCCGCCGGCGCCGAGCACCTGCTGGACGGGCACCGTGCCCCCGCCGAGGTACCGGGGACAGCTCCAAAAATGGGTCTGGGGGCGGGGAATGGGGTGGGAAGGGAGGTTTGGGGTCAGGAAATGGCACGGGAATTGTGTGGGAAATGGTTGTGGGAGAGGTGTCAGTGTGGGAACAGCATGGGGAGGGTGGGAAATGGGTTTGCAGTGAGGGAATTTGCTGCGGGGAATGGAAAAGGGGTCCTGGTGAGGGAAATGGGTCCGGGGATGTGAAATGAGTGCAGGGAGGGGATGGGGGCAGAAGAAAAGAGTGGGAAATGGGAACGGGAGCAGGGCTGGGCACTGCGGGAGCCGGGGCGGAGGTTGGGGTGGCAGGGTGGGGGGTGGCTCAGGGTACCAGGGCGGGGGTCTCAGGGTACCAGGGCGGGGTCTCAGGGGGTCCCCGCCGTGCCGCAGATGCACGTGGTGCACTTTGACTCGGAGCGTTTCGCCGATGCCAGCGCGGCGCAGCAGCACCCGGGCGGGCTGGCCGTGCTCGGCGTCCTCCTGGAGGTGCGGACCCCACGCCCCCCACCCACCCACCCACCCGCGGTTCCCCAGCCCCTCACTGACCCCCCCTCACTCCCCCAGGTGGGAGATGAACCCCACCCCGCCTATGACAATATCCTGAGGCATCTCGGCAGCATCCGCTACGCAGGTGAGGGAAGAGAGGGAGGGGGGAAGCCCCAAATCCCCCTCCCAGCACGCCCCAAATTGCTCCCCCCACAGGGCAGAGCGTGGCCATCCCCTCCTTCAGCATCCGGGCGCTGCTGCCCGAGCGCCTGGAGCGCTACTACCGCTACAACGGCTCCCTGACCACCCCGCCCTGCCTCCAGAGCGTCCTCTGGACCCTCTTCCCGCAGCCCGTCCGCATCAGCCGCGCCCAGGTAGGACCCGCTCGGGGGGAGCCCCCCGGGAGCGGCGAACGCCCCCGCAGTGCTGCCCCTTCCCCTTGCAGCTGGAGCAGCTCCAGGGAAGCCTTTACTCCACGGAGGAGGGCGAGCAGGAGGAGCCCCAGCTGCTGGTGGACAATTTCCGAGCGCCGCAGGAGCTGAACCAGCGCGCGGTGCTCTCGTCCTTCCCCAGGGGTGAGCGGAGGGGTGGGGAGGGTCCCCCTGGGGCTCCTCGGGCACAAGGTGCTGGCCCTGACCCCGGCCTTTCCCTTGCAGAGCCAGAGGGATACTCCACAGGTAGGGCCAGGCCGGGAGGCTGGGCTGGGGGGTCACACCCGGACCCCCCTGACCCCCCGGCCCCACACAGGTGAGGTCATCGCCATCATCTTCGGCGCTGTCGCCGGCTGCGTCGCCCTCTTCCTCGCCGTCCACTTTGGGGCCAAGAGGATGCGGTGAGACCCCCCCTCACAGCCCTCAGAGGGACCCCCGCGGCTGGGGGGGCCCCGAGCTCTGTGCAGAGACCCCCCCTCACGCTGGTTTCTGCCCTGGCAGCGCGAGGAGGGCGCAGGCACAGGACGTGGTGTTCAAGGCTTCCTCCCGCCGCTCGCCCATGGATGCTGGACACTCCCGCTGACCCGGGCTGGGCTGGGCTGACCCGGGCTGGGAGGGGCCGGGCTGGGCTGGGAGGGGCCGGCACACATCGTCCCCCAGACCCCCACCCCACAGCCCCACTGCAAATAAAGCCTTTTCCCCTCCTGGTGGTTCTTTGTGGGGTGGGCATTGCTGGATGCCCTGGGGCTGGATTCCATCACCCCCCAGAAACCTGGAGCAAGGTATAATGGGGGGAGTGACCCCTCTCCCTCCTCCCCTTCTCCCCAGCAGCCACAGTGTCTCGTGCTTTTACAAAAGGGTTTTACTTTTAATCAAAAAAATAACTTACCCCCCGCTGCACCTCCAAGCCCCCCGGGAGCTGAACAGGGGTGAGAAGGGCACAGCATCCCAGCCCCAGTGCCCCCCACCCCCAGAGCATCAGCAGGGGCTGCACCAGGGACCCCCACAGGGTGACAAACACGAGGAAATGGGGAGGGGTCCTGCCCTGAGTTCCCCCAGGGCATCCGGCCCACCCTGGCCTTCCCCAGAGCCTCAAACGGAGGGAAAGGTGTTATGAGAATCTGGGAACAAAGGGAAAAGGGTGGTGGTCAGACCCCAAAACCCCCTGGGACCACCAGTCAGACCCCAAAGGCCCCCAGGAACTGGGCACACACAAATTCCCCTGGAGCAGGAGGGTGAAGGCAATGGCAGGAGTGTCTGGCTGTGGGGCCACGGCTCCCTCACCCTTCAGGAGGCACCTGCAGTGCTGAGCAGAGCATGGCCTGGCCCTCAGGCTCCTGCTTACCTGGGGGAAAAGGGGCATTTACAAAGGTGGGGGTTCGTGGAAGCCCCTGGGAACGCAGCCCCCATTCAACAAGACTCATCCACCCCCATCCCAGCAGCTCTGACCCCCCCAGCCCCCAAAAGTGGCACCCCACCCCCTTACAGGAGAGGCACTTGAGGACGTTTTGGAAGGAGCCACCAGCGGTGCTGAAGGCCCAGAGGCCAGTGCAGAGCGTGAGGATGAAGATGGGGCCCAGGCTGGCCTCGTACCACGGGTTCAGGAAGGTCTGCGGACACAGAGAGGCTGGTCACACCTTCTGACCCCTCCTCGGGCAGCAAAAGGAGTGCCCAACCCCGTAGAAACCCGGCTCAAATCCGTGCTGTGTGCCCCCAAATCTCCCATGTGGCCCCCAAATCCTTCACTGGCCTCCTCCCCAAAGGGCTGGGGGTGTAACTCACCCATGGCCCTAGGCAGGGAGTGGGTGGGGGTCCCTGTGCCCCCCAGCACTCACCAGCCCCGAGGTGAGCAGGTGGCTGCCCACCACCAGCCCCAGGCCCCCGGCGCGGCGCCGCTCACAGGCGTCGAAGAAGATGATGCCCCAAAAAGTGTGGAGCAGGACCAGGGCCATGGTGAGGAAGGCTGCGGGGAGAGACACGGACCCTCAGAGCCTTCCTCCTCCTCCTCCTCCTCCGTGCCACGGCCCCAGCCTCACCAGAGGTGATGAAGTAGTATGGGGAGTCCCCGTGGATCCCGACGGTGCCCGGCCCCGCAGAGACCGCCAGGATGTTGGTGATGGAGAAGACGCCACTGATGGTGCCGAAGGAGAGCCCGGACACTGTGGGGGAGCCGGGGTCAGGGGGTCTCCGCAGCCCCGGGGGGCTCAGGGGAGCTGGATGCAGCACACTGGGCTCTGCTCACCGTAAGCCATCTGCCGCAGGGAGATCGGAGACCGCCCATCCTCGCTGAGAGCCGCCAGCCCTTCATCCGCCTTCCTGCCCGCCAGAGAGACAGCGTGAGCCCCATGGCGGGGAGAGGGGAAGGGGAGAGGAGACACTCGCTCCTTCCCGGGGTTTAACAGATTTTACACTTTTTGGGGTTGCTCTGGACATGGAGCCCCGACACCTGCCCTGGCTCCCCCAGCCCCAGGAGCCCCGACACCTGCCCTGGCTCCCCCATCCCCGGGACACCCCGGCGGCCGGCACAGCTCCCGGGCGGGCTCTCACTTGAGCACTTTGAAGCAGGCGAACCGGCAGAGCTCCTGCAGCAGCACGGCGGCGGCGGCCCCGAGCGGCAGCAGCGCCGCGTCCTCCCGCCCGCCGAGCCGCACGGACACGCACCAGAGCAGCGAGGCCGCGAGCAGCGACAGCAGCCAGAAAAACGCCCTGCGGGCAAAGGGGACAGCGGGGTGGCACCGGCAGGCAGGGCAGCCCGGTAGCGCCGGGCCGGGAGCCTCGGCGCTGCTCCCTCACGCTCCGGAGCTGCCCCTCGCCTCAGGGCTCCTCACACCGCCCTCAGCCGCGCCCGGCCCGGAGCGCCCCCAAGGGCCTCTCAGGCCCCCGCAAAGGCCTCCCAGGTTCCGCCGCGGCCGGCCCCGCTCACCCCGCCAGCAGCACGATGACGAGCAGCGGCTCCGCCGCCACCGTGAGCAGCAGGAGCGCGGCCGCGGGCCCGAGCGCGATGGCGGCGCAGCCCAGCGGCACGGCGGCGGCCATGGCGGCCGCCAGCAGCGCCCCCTGCCGGCCCGGAGGACCTGCCATGGGGGGGTAGGACCAGGTCGGGACAGGGGGACACGCGGGGACACGCGGGGACACCCGACACGGCCTGTGCCCAGCGCCACTGCGGGCTGGGTCACCCGCAGGGTCACCTGTGTCCTGGGTCACCTGCCTGCAGGGTCACCTGTGTGCTGGGTCACCTGTCTGTAGGGTCACCTGCAGGGCCACCTGTGTGCAGGGTCACCTGTGCTGGGTCACCTGCCTGCAGGGTCACCTGCTGGGTCACCTGTCTGTAGGGTCACCTGCAGGGTCACCTGTGTGCAAAATTACCTGTGTGCAGGGTCACCTGTGAGCAGGGTCTTCTTCTCTTCTCTTCTCTTCTCTTCTCTTCTCTTCTCTTCTCTTCTCTTCTCTTCTCTTCTCTTCTCTTCTCTTCTCTTCTCTTCTCTTCTCTTCTCTTCTCTTCTCTTCCCTTCCCTTCCCTTCCCTTCCCTTCCCTTCCCTTCCCTTCCCTCCTCATTACTCTTTACATTTTTTCTCCATTCCAAGCCCCTCACATCTCCCATTCTGATTCTGCCCCCCACCCCCACGCCGCTGCTGCTTAGAGAGGAGCTGGGAAGAGCAGGAAAACTTTATTTAGACAAAAAAGTTCCACCGGGCAGCAAGAGGAGCCTGGATGGCCCCAAAGCCCCTCCCTCCAGCTCCCACCTCCTCTGGACTGACGGTGCCACAGCGAGCACTGCGCACTGAAAATGAACATTTTTCACCCATCTTCGTGCCTCCTGCAAGGAAAACTGCAGACAATGTCCCCTCCAGGCTCTTCCGCAGGAATCCTGCGAATGCCATCTCCTGGGCACGAGGCATTGTTCAGGGGCGAGTTGGAGTTACTGCCTGCGTTGGATTAATTCCCCTCCTTGTTTCGTTTCCGCCTATTAAAGCTGGGAAATGACACAGCACATCCGAGCACTGCTGCCTTCAGCTGCACCTTCCTCCTTGGGCTGAGCCCCCCGGCACAGCACCAGGCTCTGGGTGCCCAGAGCATCCCTGGGATGCAGCCCCTCAGCACAGCAAGAACCAGGAGCCTCCTTCTTCCTTCTTTTTTTCTCCTTTTCCTTCCTTTTTCCCTCTGGTTTGGTTCACATGTTGAGTTTTCCCTTGGGAAAGGTGTCCCTCCCTTGCTGCTGTGGTGTTGTGGCAGATTTTACCGTTGGATTCTGGCAAAAAAACCTTTTAATAATAAAAAAAATAAAGACATAAAAGTAGAAATATAAAGCAAAATAGGGATTTGGGGGATAGGAAGCAAAGTTTTGGGATGGGAGATGGAAAAGCCCTTGGTCTGTCTCCTTTCTGTGGCTGCAATGGGTTTTCTCTGTGATGCCAGATGTGAAGAATCAGTAAGAAAAAAGGCAAAAAGAAGAAAAAAAAAACCAAAAAAAAAAACAAAAAAAAAAAAAAAAAAAAAAAAAAAAACAAAAAAAAAACCAAAAAAAAAAAAAAAACCAACAAAAAAAAAACCAGAAGGAAAATAGATCAGTTTCCTTTTCCATCCTTTCCACAATTGGAGATTGTGGATTCCACAATCCCACACCTGGGATGCAGGATGCTGCTGGGAAGTTCCAGCTGCTCACAGCCAGGGAACAGCAGCTGCTTCCCCCTTTGGCACCTTATGGCACGTTTTATCCAGGTCCCTTTTCCTTAGTGGATTCTCCAAGTTTTCCCATTTTTTCCAAGTCTTAAGCCATCACACCCAGCTCTGGAGTCATTCCCAGCAAAATCCCACTCAATTCAGCTGCCACGCCAAGGGTTTGTCCATTCAGCCCCATCCTCTCCTCTGATAAGCCATCACCATCCTCAGGGGCCTTCCTCGCCCCTTCCCTCCCCATTCCTTTAATCCCAGGATATTTTAACCCTTTCCTGCTCCCCCAGTGCCTCCTGGCTGAGCTGCTGGCCCCAGCCCTGCTGGGATTCTTCACAACAAGTTCAGATTTCTGCTTGGGTTGGGATTTTTGAGTTTGGATGTTATTCTTGTGGAGGAGGGAGAGGAGGGTCGTGTGGAGAGGAGGATTTGAAGAGATTCACTTCCTGCTCAGCATTCCTGGACACTTAACCCCTTGCCAAACATCTCCCTACAGATGGGGGAAGCTCCTTCTGCAAAGCACAGGGGAGCCCAGGGAGGCTGGGAACCAGCTTTGGAATGTGCTGCAAAAATTCCTCAGTTGGGTCCACTCTTGATATATTAAAAAGAAAAAAAAAGTCTGCTTTGGGGAATTTTTGATTACAATTGATTAGAATGCTTAAAATCCACAGAAATCTTTGGTTTAAAATCAGCAATAGATGAGATGAGCTTTGAGGCCACTCCCAACCCCTTCCATGATTCCATGGCCCTGCACCCCACAAGGGAGCTCCTCCTGCACTATGCAAGACTCATCTTGCTCTTTCCTGGCTTTCTTCATCTTTATGAGTCACCAAAATGTTGATTTTACAGCTCTGCCTCGTTTGCTTCCCCTTTTCCTTCCTCCTCTGGTCTGCACCCATTTCCACCTGGATCCCGCCAGCTCCTCGCAGGAGCTCTGCTATCACCTCCTCCCCAGGGTGTTTTTACCCACTATAAAATAAAATAAATCTATGACCTTTCATGTTTCTTCCTCCTGACGAAGCAACTGAGGCACGGCAAGGGGAAATGAAGCCAAAATAAAAAAAATCCCCCAAGATTGTACGGGAAGTCAGGACTGGCTCTGCCTCCCAGTCAGCATCACTGCCCTCTCTCCCTGAAGAATTCGCTATTTATAGCTCTGCTTAGAACATAATCAAAACCATCCTCTCTCCATATGAGAGCTCATCCAGCGGCACTAACCCTCCCAGGGGGGGAAAACTTCCCAAGATTTGCAATTGAGCCGTCCGAAACGCCTCTGCAACGGGAAACTTCCACCGGCGGAGCGGCGGCGCGGAGCCCGCACGGGACGCGCTCGGCCCGGCTGCTCCGGTCCCGGGCACAACCCGGGCTCCCTCCCACGCCACCGAGGAGCTTTGCTCGGCTCAACCCCCCCGAGTCATTTCCTGCTTTCGGTGGAAAGGCTCCGCAAGGTCCCACGGAGCAGAAGCGGCGCCGCTCCCGCAGGAGGACGATGAATTTCTGCATCGCGGTGCTCCTGGTCCTTCAGTCCTTGCCGGGTAAATCAACTCTCCGCCCTCCCACGCCACCGAGGAGCTTTGCTCGGCTCAACCCCCCCGAGTCATTTCCTGCTTTCGGTGGAAAGGCTCCGCAAGGTCCCACGGAGCAGAAGCGGCGCCGCTCCGGCAGGAGGACGATGAATTTCTGCATCGCGGTGCTCCTGGTCCTTCAGTCCTTGCCGGGTAAATCAATTCTCCGGGTTTTTCTTTTTTTTCCCCAGGGTTTTCTAAGGGTAATTTGATTTTTAGCTCGCTGCTTTGATTGTTCTCACACTCCTAGGATGCCGCGGGGTTGTTGAGAGGTGGGGATCTGGAGGCTGAAAGATCTTGGGGGGATTTTCTTGGAGAAAGGGGAAAAACCAGCGGGAATACACGATGTAAATTACTGAAAGTTTCATAAAGCCTCTGCTTGGAGAACAGTAGGGTAGTGAACGTTTCCCGCATTGTGTTCAAATCATTTGCAAAGTCCAGCTGGGAGCTATTAGGAGACACGGAGAAAAAACCCCAACAGGATTTCCTGAGAGTTATGTGGGCAATTTGAGATGGGGAAGAGCAGAATCAGGGTTCTGAGGGAGGAAAACCCCAATGTGGAGCTGCTTGGGGATGAGCACGATATTCCCCCACCTCTGGGAAGGTGAGGTCAGAGCAGCACCGGCTGAGGGGAACTGGAAACTGAGCTCTGCCATGCCCAAGCGCTTCTCTCTTCCCCTTTCTCTTCTCTTCAGCGAAGGAACAGATTCAAACACGAAACATCAGGAGGGGATTCCCGGCTGGGAGCTCTTTTCAGGACAGGCTTGCCCTGTTATTCTTAGTGGGATTGCAGTGTGAAGAGAGCCAGCTCGGTGATTTTCTGGGAAAGCTCCGTGCAGGGGAGAAGGTGCCCCAGGGCTCAGCGCTGCTGGAGCACTGCCAGAGGATGAGCGTGGGAAGGGGGGACAGGTCCCAATTTCAGCCCAAATGTCCCCAAAAGCTCAGGGTGGGAGTGGGACAGGTCAGTGTGAGGCTGGGCTGTGTTCCTCCTGCAGAGCCCCGATTCCAGCTGGAATCTTCAGCATCAGGGACTGTTTACAGAGAATTCCCTAATGAGGATTTTGGGATCTGGGCTTCCCCCACTGGTTTTGCCAGTGCTGAGAAAGTCAGGGATATGAGAGGAAGAAGTGGGAGGGTTTGCAGAGGGACCTGGAGCTACAGCTGGCACTGGGCATGACTGACAGCATCATTCCAGCTATTAAGGGTGTAATTGATAATGACAACATTATAATTATCTAATTTGTGACTATAAATGAGTATCAAACTATAAAAATATTATTCCATATCTGCCATTCTCATTAGTATCTTAGTGTATGGATCTGTGACTATTAGAACATTAATATTCCCAATTAATTTGCTTTTAAAAAACCCAAGAAAACCCCAAGAAAAGACACAGGAATATGTTTGTAATGGGGAATGTTTAGAATAGGGAATGAGCCACTCCCTCCAACTGTGACAATGTCACATGGGTCAGAATTTATGTATAGTGGCTCAGCCCTAAGAAAACGTGAGGGTCCCTCGTGAGCCCGTGGCAGCCAAAGGCACTGGAGCAGCTGGATCCTGGATGAGAGGCTCATCCCAGGGGGGATCCAGCCCAGCGCTGGGTCTGGGCTGCAGGAGCACAGCAGAGGCTCCATCCCCACCACTGCACCTCTCACTTCCAGCACATCCACACCCAAAACCAAGGAAAACCCCAGCTCTGCTCTGACCTCCCACACCTTTAGTTGGGATCTATTGTGGGTCAGGTTGCAAATCCATTAGTCCCAGAGGAAAGAGGTTTTGCCCAAAGCAGCACCAAACCAATGAAGCTTCCCATGACCCCACGCCCACGGCTCGACCCCAGGCTCCTCGTGCTCATCCATTGGTTGTTCCTTTGCTTTCAGGGAAGGCAGAGGTCAAAGATGACATGGAGGAGATTGCACAGGATTTATACGAATACCTAGCTCATTTAAGTAAGAAATGTCTTTTTTTTTAAAGCATTTTTACCATTTTCCACAAGCCACGGGAGGGAGTTGGGATAAGCGGGGCTGGGAGGGGATTTATCTGAGTTGTCCAGATTAATTTGAGTTACACAGGGGGAAAAGCTCACAACCCAGGACATGGGGGAGGGACTCACAGGACCCCAGTCCCCACAGTGCCACCTCACCTGGAGCTGTTTCCATTCCAGGTGATGAGTATTATTCCACAGAAGATTATTACTACGACAACATCACAGCAACCCCTGGCACGTATGTGTACGAGTTTGATTCATATGAGGTGAGTTGGTATTCCCCTACAAAACAGGTTGTCCTCACCCAAATCTCTGCCACAACGAAAAATAAATGGATTAAACCTGCTGATTTTTAGACCACAGAATGAATCAAGTGAGTTTGGGTAGAGTGTCCATGAACAGCAATCATGGAATGGTTTGAGTTGGGATTTATTTCTCCAGTTTTCACAGGAACAATGGGAAATTCCTTCTTTTCCCAATTAAATACCATCAAAGCCATCCCAAGGAGAGATCTCTCTGCATAGGAGTTAATCCTATGCTGTGACATACCAGGTTATTTCTTTCTCTCCACATCCAGACAAACACCATTGGAGACATGGACTGGGAGAAGTGGCTTTCAGAAGAGAATGCCACCACTGAGGTTTCAGGATCACCAGATACAAGTGCTCCAGGGGTTTCTAGGGATGCCAAGGACAGCCAGGTGGGTGCCTGTCAGCTCAGGAGCTCTGCCACAGGCTTTTAGCCCATGGGACTTTCTGACTGATTTATTCTCCTTGATTCACCAGGATTTTCAGGAGTCATTGGGATCATCCCTGCAGGGCCACCTCACCCTCATCATCCTCCTCAGCTTCCTGGGTCTCCTGCTATGACCCCCAGACTCCTTCTCCAAAGGTACTCTGGGATTTCAACCACTCACTCAAAGTGTGTCCTTCAACCCAGGGAAATCCAATTCCTTCTGAAGCAGCAACTTTCCAAAACAATGGAAAGATAACAAGCCCTTCCAGGCAGATAACAGCCCATCCAGCTGGGAGGCCAGGGAACTCTCCAGCAGCTCTGACCCCACTGATGGCCTGGAGAGGCTTTCCAGGGCATTTCCCCAACGACCTTGGCATTCAGCCGGACCTTCAGGGTGCAAGCAGCCAGGCTCCACCCAAACACCCTGTTCCATACAGCCCTGGAATGGTTTGGGTTGGGATGAACCTCACAGACCTGCTGGTTCCACCCTCCTGCCCAGGTTCCTCCAACGCTCCATCCCACCTGGCCAACTTTTCCCACTGGAGCTCTCCAACATCTCAGGGACACCCAAGCCTGGTCCTGCCACGCTCTGCTCACCTTTTCCCCTCGTCCCAGACGCTGTGTCTGGGATGGTGACCAGGACATTGTCAGATGTTGATGATGACATCCTCTCCACGAGGCGTTGTCTGTGTTCCAGAACTGCTGAGACTTTGTGTCTGAAGGTTTTGCTGGAGGGCCGGTGTGAGCACGGAGAGCTCAGCAAGCTTCAGGCCTTTCCTGTTTCCTCAGATTCTGCTGTAGATAAGAACCTCTGCCAATAAAATCCCCAACACCTGGTGCATGGTGTCTCATGGTAAATAATCCAGAACTGGAATACACAAACAATGAGTGCAGTGCTTGTCCTGCCAGAGGGATTTTCTCGAGCCTCTAAACCCAGCCAGGAGGTTCCAACTTTGTTTCTTCCAGAACTGCTCTTCACACTGTTTATTTTCTAGAAACATCCACAATATCTGGGACAAGATGGACCAGAAAACCTCCCACCCCCCCATGGAGAGCAAACTGTTGCAGAAATGGGTGGGCTTGGTCAGGAAATCAGAGTTAAATTCCTTTTTAGGGAAACAAGTGCAATCCCACACTCGGTGCCTACGTTGCTTTTCCTTGGGAGAGTTAGCAGGAAGGAGAGACGGAAAACTGGCCCAGGTGTACCCAGGACAAAAGAGGCTGAGTCAAGCCAAGGGCTGTTGAGTCAGGCCAACAGGAGACTCGTGGTCACAGCCCTCAGGGATCCCTCCAGACACCTCCAGACCCCGGGGGAATCTCCCAGGGCAGGTACGACCCATCCTGCCCACCTCGAGGAGCAGCTCACAATTCCCAGGATATCCCTCCCCCAGCCTTGGAAAGAAGAAAACTGGGAAGTAAAAAGCTCGAAATATTCAGAAGCAGCAGGAGTGAGACTGGATGTGCTGCCTGGCAGTGCCACCTCCTGGCTCTGTGCTGCCACAAAGGTGGATTGAGAAAAGCCGAGAACGCCCCGGGAAATTATTCAGGATCACACAGCAGTGAGATTTCCAACCCTGGAGTGGAGTAAAAAGCAATTAAAGGCAAATAAAAGATGTGGATGAAGGTGGTGAGTTCATTGCTACAAACCATCCCTCTAATGCAGACACAGAAAATAAACCAGTTTGTTGTAACCTGCCTAACTATAAATTGAATCACTCCCAGAGCAAATCCTCAAACCAAATCCTCACCTTCCAGCGGTGTTTTGGGACAGCAATGTCCAAACACAACACGGATGGACAGCTGGACATGCCCTCTCTGCTCCCAAAGCTGGGACTATCCACCCAAACCTCTTTAGTCCCAAAATCCATCCTCCTGGCTCTTTCACAAGCTCCTTTCCTAGATTTACCCTCTTCCCCCCACTCAGAGGGTGGCGGTGGCTCCATGGCCACTGTCTCCACGAGCAGCCACCCAGCTCTCCTGGCAAACCCCTGGGATTTAATAAGCAGCTTTAACACAAAGAGGATTTTCCCTGCAGTTGTGAGAACCTTTCCCAGTTACCTCCTGGTAGGAAGCAAGCAGAGGGCTCTCCAGGTCTCTGGTGTTTTGCAGCAGCTCGTTATCAAACCATCCAGAAATATTTTCTCCATGGAGTTTACACAAAGCTGGAACAACCCCGAAATTCCCATGTTGGGTTGTTGGTTTTTGTTTTGTTTTGTTTTGTTCTTAAATTCTGTCACCATGCTGCCAAAATGTCTCCGGTTATTTGTGTCTCCAAAGTTAAAAGAGTCAATATGTAAATATTTAGAACTGTTTGTCCCAGAATTGTCCTGCCTGGGCATGAGGGATATCAGTGGCTCGCAGGCTCTTTTCAAGGATCATTTTCCAGGAGAAAAGCTTCAATAGAGAAACATTCATTCATTATTAAACAGGAAAAGAATTTCCATAGGGATATAAATCCCGTCTATCCACTGGGGGAGATCTAAATTACGTGTATCCAACTAGAGGGAAATATAAATCCCATCTATACATCCCAAGGGGGTTATAAATCCCATATATACAACCCGAGGGGGATACAAATCCCCCTGAGCGGGATGTGAGCCTCATCTATCCACCCTGAGTGGCTCAGATTTTAGGAATTGGGTGATTGCCCAGCTGCGCGAGCCTGCCTCCCCTCCCCAACCCTGCGGTGGCCGCGACCCCCTCAGAACCGAGACCCCCAAGGCTGCGACCCCTGCCCCCCGCCCACCCCAGAGCCGCGACCCCCGGCCCGGTGCGGCCCCCACAGAGCCGCGACCCCCTCAGAGCCCTGAGCCCCTCAGAGCCGTGAGCTCCTCAGAGCCGCGACCCCCGGGCCGGTGCGGCCCCCTCAGAGCCCCGACTTCCTCAGAGCCCCGACTTCCTCAGAGTCGCGACTCCCGACCCCCGCCCAGCCCAGAGCCGCGACACCCTCAGAGCCGCGACCCCCGGCCCGGTGCGGCCCCCACAGAGCCGCGACCCCCTCAGAGCCCTGAGCCCCTCAGAGCCGTGAGCTCCTCAGAGCCGCGACCCCCGGGCCGGTGCGGCCCCCACAGAGCCCCGACCCCCTCAGAGCCGCGACCCCCTCAGAGCTCTGAGCCCCTCAGAGCCGCGGCTCCTCCAGACCTGCGACCCCCGACCCCCGCCTACCCCAGATCCGCGAGGCCCCGGCGACCCCCGACCCACTCCCGGCGCGCTCCCGGCGCCCGCCGCAGCCGCAGCGACCCTCGCGGCCGCTCTCGGCCACCCTCCCTCGCCAGTGCGGAACCGCGGGAGGGGGGGGCAATGGAGATGAAGAAGCGCATCAACCTGGAGTTGCGGAACCGGGCCCCCGAGAAGGTGAGGGGCGGCGGGGCCGGTGGGGCGCGCTCCCCGCGCCCCGTGGGGCCGTGGCTGCCGCCTCGGGCCGCGCAGGCCCGGCGGCACCGCTGCCGAATCTGGGTCAGCCGTGGCGCAGGGCCCGGCGGGGCGCGGGCGGCGCTTCCGGCGCGGCCCCGGGACCGCGGCCCCCCTCGTTCCCCCTCCGCCGCCTCTCTCGGGGTGCCCCGAAGTTCCCGGGGGCCGCGGCGGCCTCGGCTTCCCCCGGCGTTAATCCGCCGCTTCCCCCGGCCGCAGTAAACAGGTCACGGCGCCGCTTCCCCCGGCCGCGGCCCGCCGCTCATCCCGGCGCCTTTAATTAGTATAATTAACGTTCTTTCCCGCGCCCGCCGCCCCGCCGGGCGCGCCGTGGGGTCCCCATACCTCTCGCGCTCCCGCCGCCGCGCTTCCAACTTTCCACTTTTTAGGAAAAAAAACAAAAAAAAATTTTAAAAATTATTTTAAAAAGCCCCGATCCCGTGGCAAGGCGGGAGCGCACGTGCGCGGCCGGCCCTCTGTTCCCGGGGCTCCGGAGCGGCGCTCCCCGCTCCGCCGCTGGGGAAACCCGCGCCCGCTTCGCCCCAAGAGTGAAGTCCTGCGACTTTCGCTTTCCCTGACCCGCCGCACGTGGGGTTTTTTTGGGGGGAAAAAGCTGCCGGAGGTGTCGGTTTAACGCGGGCAGTGGTGTTTGCGGGTGGCAGGTAGCCGGAGAGGCCTCGTCGCGCTGCCAGCGTGCAGCTGCTGGGGATGAAGCTGGGAACCTCCCTCTCTCCCCGGCAGCTTGCCTTAAAATTTGGTGTCTGTGTGGAATAAGGGGTGTATTTTAATAAAAAAATGAAGGGATAGTGGGAAGCTGGCCTCGTGGTGCTTGGGGTCAGCAGCACTCCTAAAATTTTGTTAGTGTGCAGGGAAGAGTCACCTTGTGCCTGTCCTTTACCAAGTGGATGTTCTACTCTAGGTAAAATAATTTAAAATTAATTGGCTGCTTCTTGTTGCTGCTTCTCCAAGTACGTGACCTGTATTGATTATTGAGTGGCTTGGGCACAAGGAAATTATTTATTTGGGCTTCATTAACCTCTGGGACTCTCTGGGAAAATAATCTGGAGTCAGAAGGTTTTAGGTTCAGAGAGAAACTGGTTTTATGAGTTTGGTTATGCACAGTTAAATGATGAGGAGAAGTCAGCAGTTGGTTGGCTGCAGTGCTTCTGTGGGGAGCTGCACCAGTGTCCTCTGTCCGTGGAGTTTTGGGGTCAGGTGGCAGTTTTTGCAGAGTTTAACGTGTGCTTAGAGAACAGGATAATTCTGCATAATTTTAAAATGAGGTGGGTGCTGGCGATTTCAGGGCAGAAACCTGCTCTGATTTTAAATGAAACCCCAAACCTGCCGTCCCTGGGGTGGCTTTCAGGTGACTTTGCTGCTGTGACACCCACGTGTGCTCGCTGCTTTGCAGGTGACAGAGTTGGTGCTCGATAACTGCCGCTCCAGCAACGGCGAGATCGAAGGGCTCAACGACTCCTTCAAGGAGCTGCAGTTTCTCAGCATGGCCAACGTTGAGCTGACATCGCTGGCCAAACTGCCCACGTTGAGTAAGCTGCGCAAGGTGGGTGTCTTTGGGGTGATGAGCCTTTGGCTGGACTCCTGTGGTGCTGAAGGTGCTTCCTGGGCCTCTGAAATGTATTTTGGGTGTCTCCAGTTAATTGTGGTGAGTTGGGTTTGGTCAGGGATTCTTGGGGCAATAATGGCTTGGGCATTGGGAAGGTCGCAGTTTTTGCAGAGTTTAACGCATGCTTAGAGAACAGGATAATTCTGCATAATTTTAAAATGAGGTGGGTGCTGGCGATTTCAGGGCAGAAACCTGCTCTGATTTTAAATGAAACCCCAAACCTGCCGTCCCTGGGGTGGCTTTCAGGTGACTTTGCTGCTGTGACACCCACGTGTGCTCGCTGCTTTGCAGGTGACAGAGTTGGTGCTCGATAACTGCCGCTCCAGCAACGGCGAGATCGAAGGGCTCAACGACTCCTTCAAGGAGCTGCAGTTTCTCAGCATGGCCAACGTTGAGCTGACATCGCTGGCCAAACTGCCCACGTTGAGTAAGCTGCGCAAGGTGGGTGTCTTTGGGGTGATGAGCCTTTGGCTGGACTCCTGTGGTGCTGAAGGTGCTTCCTGGGCCTCTGAAATGTATTTGAAATGGTTTTGGGTGTCTCCAGTTAATTATGGCGAGGGTTTGGTCAGGGATTCTTGGGGCAGTAATGGCTTGGGCATTGGGAAGGTTCAGCTATGGACCTATAAAAAATCCTTGGTAAGAGGTTCTTGGGTCACTCGATGCTGGCAATAAGCTCCAGTCCTGGTAACTTAAAACTGAGATGCCCAAACCCACAAGACTAAGAAGCAGTTTATAATTCTCAGTTTAAAGGAGCTTTTTGACACCTAAAGCTTGTTACCTTGGGTGAGTCTTCAAAAGTGATTACATTCTTAAAGGGAGAACAATTAATGATGTAGCTGAATCTGAGGCTGAAAATCTATTTGTTAATTTCTTTTTTTCCCCTACAATAGCTGGAGTTGAGTGACAATGTCATTTCTGGAGGCCTGGAGGTCCTTGCAGAGAGATGTCCTAATCTCACATATCTAAATCTAAGTGGCAACAAAATCAAAGATCTTGGCACTGTGGAAGCTCTTGTGAGTATGAAGTGGGAGGGACTCTGGGGAGATGTAATAAGTGCTATTTTTTATCAAGAACCTTTAATATTTTTGCAGTGGATTGGTACAAATGTTAATCAGTCTCGTGGTTGGTCTGGTTTGATAGACTCAGTGCCATGGTTATAGGACAGCAGGTGTAACCCCAGTGCTGGAAAATGTGTCAGGAATGGGATGTCCCAAATCAGAGATGGTAGGGTTTGGTTTTTCTTGGAAGAAAAAGTAGCCAAGGTGTGTGGTGCTGATTCCCCTGTGCTGTTCATCAAGGTGTGTTTGTCTGCTGAGTTTTCATTTAACTGTGACTCAGAGGTGTGATACAGCCAGGAGTGGGACAGTGCAGCAGAGCAGGGAGCTGCCACTGGTGATCCATTCACCCATTTTTCTGGATGATTGGGGTTTCTGTCCAAACTCATAACCCACCCCCCAAGGTTGGGAGTTATTCCACACAAGTGCCTTTGGTGGGATTTGGCTGCTGCCAGCAACTTTGGCTGAACTTTGAGGGAGAAAAATTCTAACTAGAAACGAGGGATGAGGATAAAGTCAATTCTGTTATTCCTGGGTTGTCACCCTGCTGTATCTGGGAGCACCACGGGAAAAAAGCAAACCTTTTCATTTATTTTCAGCAAAACCTGAAGAATTTGAAGAGTCTTGACCTGTTCAACTGTGAGATTACAAACCTTGAGGACTACAGGGACAGCATCTTTGAGCTGCTCCAGCAGATCACATACCTGGATGGGTTTGACCAGGAGGACAACGAGGCACCAGACTCAGAAGATGATGATGATGGTAACTTCCTGAAACAAACTGGGGGCAGGGATGGGATGCTGGAATAAAGGTCTCCGTGTAGTGCAGGGTCTTCCTGAGCACACAAGTGCAATTCTGCTCGTGCTCCTGAAGAGCAGAGGCCAGAGTTTGTTTGGTATTAATGCACTGAGAGCAAAAACAGGGTTCCAGTCCTGCAGAAGCCACCTGGGCTTA